TGGAGGTTCCTTAAAAAACTAAAAATAAAACTACCACGTGACCCAGCAATCCCACTACTGGGCATATACCCTGAGAAAACCATAATTCAAAAAGAGTCATGTACCAAAACGTTCATTGCAGCTCTACTTACAATAGCCACGACATGGGAGCAACCTAAGTGTCCATCAACAGATGAATGGATAAAGAAGATGTGGCACATATATACTCAGCCATAAAAAGGAACGAAACTGAGTTATTTGTAGTGAGGTGGATGGACCTAGAGACTGTCATACAGAGTGAAGTAAGTCAGAAAGAGAAAAATAAATACAGTATGCTAACACATATATATGGAATCTAAAAAAAAGAAAAATATGGTCAGAAGAGCCTAGGGGCAAGACGGGAATAAAGATGCAGACCTACTAGAGAATGGACTTGAGGACATGGGGAAGGGGAAGAGTAAGCTGGGACAAAGTGAGAGAGTGGCATGGACATATATACACTACCAAAAGTAAAATAGATAGCTAGAGGGGTGGGATAGGGAGGGTGGGAGGGAGGGAGATGCAAGAGGGAAGAGATATGGGGACATATGTATATGTATAACTGATTCACTTTCTTATAAAGCAGAAACTAACACACCATTATAAAGCAATTATACTCCAATAAAGATGTTAAAAAATGGATTTGAATTTAAATGGAGAAGCAGTTAAACTAATGAACATATGCTTCCTAAGAGAAATTGAAGAAAGTAAAATTATTTATTTATTTATTTATTTATTTATGCGGTACGCGGGGCTCTCACTGATGTGGCCTCTCCCGTTGCGGAGCACAGGCTCCGGACGCGCAGGCTCAGCGGCCATGGCTCACGGGCCCAGCCGCTCTGCGGCATGTGGGTTCTTCCCGGACCGGGGCACGAACCCGTGTCCCCTGCATCGGCAGGCGGACTCAACCACTGTGCCACCAGGGAAGCCCTATTTGATTGTTTTTTAAAATAAATTTATCTATTTATTTTTGGCTGCATTTGGTCTTTGTTGCTCTATGTGGGCTTTCTCCCTAGTTGTGGCGAGTGGGGACTACTCTTTGTTGCGGTGCACGGGCTTCTCATTGCGGTGGCTTCTCTTGTTGCAGAGCACAGGCTCTAGGCATGCAGTCTTCAGTAGCTGTGGCATGTAGACTCAGTAGTTGTGGCTCGTGTGCTCTAGAGCACAGGCTCAGTAGTTGTGGTGCATGGGCTTAGTTGCTCTGTGGCATGTGGGATCTTCCTGGAGCAGGGTTCGAACCCATGTCCTCTGCACTGGCAGGTGGATTCTTAACCACTGCGCCACCAGGGAAGTCCCTAAAATTATTAAATGATGTCCTATTCCTTCATGTAACCCCTAAAGCAGTAGGTAGAAAAGGGAAAGAGTCAGCAGAGGTTGATTGGCATGTACTCAAATTTTAAAATTAGAAGTAGAAAGTTTGAATTCCAGTACTCAGTATTAGGTGAGTGACTTTGGATAAGTCCTATAACCTTTCTGATTGTCCATTTGCTTACTTGTAATGCTTGTGTCACAGAGTCATTTAGAGAAGTAAATGAACTAATGGATTGTGAAATTGTTTTGTGAGCTACAAAGCATTTTTAGTCACTCTTTTCTTTTCTGTTCCTACTCTTCTATGTCTATCATCTGCTATAGCATTTCCTATGTTGTAATTTATTTGTTTATCTCTGTCTCCCACTAGACTGAGCTTTATCAGAGCAAGGATTTTTGTTTTATTTATCTTGGAACACCAGGGCCGAACACATAGGTACTCAATAAATGTTTAATGAATGTGTGAATAAATGTTTCGAGTAGGAGGTGGACCCAGGTTACCTTTTAAGTTTCCTTTTAGTTTTGTTGTTTAAGATTCCATGAAAAGGTCTAGAAATAATTAGAGATTGACAAAGGAATTCATACTTAGAATATAAAAACATGAAATTGAAGGGCAGTTACAGAATCATTAAACACATATCAACATTCTAGAGTGTACTTTCAAAAGGGAAATTGTTGAGACGGGTTAATTGAGTTTATGTATAAGAAGGGAGGTTATGATTTGTCAAGTGAGAAGTAATTTTTCTGGCCATAGAAAGATAACAGCTGAAATGAGTCTCTCCAAAGCTAGGAAATGTGGCAGAGGAATATCGTGGCTAAACAAATTCATTACAGCAGAAAGGTATTAAAAAACATTTGAAGAAGTATGGTTAAGTCATGGGAAACTAGACTCCCTTATTGAGATGCCAAAAACTGATGAGACATAAGGTGGAGCTTTTGTTGTTGTATATGTTGTTGTTTGAAAGGACTGGAAACTACATCTCCAACAGGAGCAAAGTATGAATAGATATGTTTACTGAAAAAAGTGTTGATAGACAGAAGAGACCGTGAACACAAGGGGGAAAGGCTGGAGTAGACGTAGTAAAATGAAAGAACAAATGACTGAAGGTTTAGAAAGGACCAACTCACTTATAATGAGAGAGGGGGAAGCATCCAAAGCAGTGATCCTAAGTAAGAAATTGAAAATACATCGTAAATATGAAGGCAGCCTTAAAATCCTAAAATTAGAATGGACCTTGAGAGAATTTACAACTGAAGAACAAAACCAGAGATTCTCTAAACAGTAGACCTCAAAGCCTAACCTGGTTCAGCATGAAGTGGCTGTCACCACATTCCCTGGCTCTGATCTTTGACAAAATGTTTGGGGTAGGAGAAGATAGACGTGATTGGTCAAGTTGGTTCCTACCATAGAGACTTTATTATAGCACAGTGGAATGGAGAAAGCTTGCTCTTAAAAAAGTCATACACATCTGATTAAGAATCCCAGCTCTACCTCTTATCAGCTGTTCAATCTTCAGCAGATTACTTAATATCCCTAAAATACATTCAGAAAGAACTCTGTCTATCCAAATAACTTCTGTTTTTCATATACCTGGGTTGATCATTAATTTTCCTTTTTTTTTCCCTGTTCTTCATTTCTTTCTTTTTTAAAACACTGCTTTCTAAGACATTTCATCAGCTTTATCGTCCAGCTCTTTTATTAAGGTTTAAATTCCTCTTGTCATTTTTTAAAAATTGAAGTATAGTTGATTTACAATGTTGTGTTAATTTCAGGTGTACAGCAAAGTGACTCAGTTATACATACATACACTCTTTTTTGTTGTTCTTTTCCATTATGGTTTATCACAGGATATTGAATATAGTTCCCTGTGCTGTACAGTAGGACCTTGTTTATCCATCCTATAGATACCAGTTTGCATCTGTTAATTCCAACTCTCACTCCTACTCTCTCCACACCCCTCCCCCTTGACAAGTATATATATATATATATATATATATATATATATTTTTTTTTTTTTTTGTGGTATGCGGCCTCTCACTGTTGTGGCCTCTCCCATTGCGGAGCACAGGCTCCGGACGCGCAGGCTCAGCGGCCATGGCTCACGGGCCTAGCCGCTCCACGGCATGTGGGATCTTCCCAGACCGGGGCACGAACCTGTGTCCCCTGCATCGGCAGGCGGACTCTCAACCACTGCACCACCAGGGAAGCCCGGCAAATATATATTTTTAAAGCAAATCAAACTGGACACCATTCCTGAAAACGCCTCCTACACTATGCTGGAATTTAAAAGGACTTTTAATAACTTCAAGCCCTATCTGCACTACATGTGAGGCAGCCTTTAAAATTTCTTTACCTCCTGTACTGAAGGCCAAGAAAAAGAAATTGAAAATATCTGCATGATAGTAAAAAATTTTCCCCCATTACTTAGAGCTATTAATAGAAATTGTACGGCAGAATCTTTATTAGGAAGGCTGTGAAAAAAATAAAGATGTGTGTAAGATAATTTTAATGAACTTTCTTACAGGAAATATTTGTAAAACTCTTTGTTTTAAATGAATACTTGTCTGTCTTGAGGCTTTTTTTTTTTTTTAAAGCACTGACTAATTTAATCCTCACATCCACGGTGGCATTGGTACTTTTGTTTTTAATTAATTTATTTATTTTTGCTGTGTTGGGTCTTCGTTTCTGTGCGAGGGCTTTCTCTAGTTGCGGCGAGCGGGGGCCACTCTTCATCGCGGTGCGCGGGCCTCTCACTATTGTGGCCTCTCTTGTTGCAGAGCACAAGCTCCAGACGCGCAGGCTTCAGTAGTTGTGGCTCATGGGCCTAGTTGCTCCGCGGCATGTGGGATCCTCCCAGACCAGGGCTCGAACCCGTGTCCCCTGCATTAGCAGGCAGATTCTCAACCACTGCGCCACCAGGGAAGCCCCTGACTTGAGGCTTTTAATAGTCCATTTCATTCAGTCTAGGATTCTAAAATCTTTTTTTAAATTTAATTAATTTTATTTATTTTTTGGCTGTGTTGAGTCTTCGTTGTTGCGCGCGGGCTTTCTCTAGTTGCGGCGAGCGGGGGCTACTCTTCGTTGTGGTGCACAGGCTTCTCTCACTGCGATGGCTTTTCTTGTTGCAGAGCACGGGCTCTAGGTATGCGGGCTTCAGTAGTTGTGGCACGCAGTCTCTAGAGCGCAAGCTCAGTAGTTGTGGCACACGGGCTTAGTTGCTCTGCGGCATGTGGGATCTTCCTGGACCAGGGCTTGAACCCGTGTCCCCTGCATTGGCAGGCGGATTCTTAACCACTGCGCCACCAGGGAAGTCCCCTAAAATCTGTTTTTAATATATGTATTTTCTTAATTGTGTTCACTATATTGCATATTGAGTTTTTCAGTGGTATATTATTCCACACCTTATTTATTTTCTGCTAGACTCTTGAGCTGCAAAGATGAGTGGAATGTAGAAATTATGTCCTGTAATAAACTGCTATCTTATTATATGGTATTGAGTTTAAGCTCCAGCTCAATGACTGGGTTTATACAGTGTGATGTAATATTCTTCTAGGGTTTAACGTAGTAATTTGTTATATCCTTCCCACCAAAAGAGTGTTCTGACATTCACATCAAGTATGTTTATAACATTTTCCTGAAATCATAACGTTTTCTGATGACTTTTCTCCCCTAGTATCCTCTTTGCTGACCTCTTCATCATGAATCTAATTCTTCGGGTGGAAGGGTCATCAGCTGCCATCTCCTTTGGTACCCTGATAGGTATCCTCACAATGTGGTTTGGAATTTCAGTACCACTAACATTTTTTTTTAAACAAGTTTATTTTCTTTTTTTTAAAAATTTTATTTATTTATTTTTGGCTGTGTTGGGTCTTCGTTTCTGTGCGAGGGCTTTCTCTAGTTGCGGCGAGCGGGGGCCACTCTTCATCGCGGTGCGTGGGCCTCTCACTGTCGCGGCCTCTCTTGTTGCGGAGCACAGGCTCCAGACGCGCAGGCTCAGTAGTGTGGCTCACCGGCCTAGTTGCTCCGCGGCATGTGGGACCTTCCCAGACCAGGGCTCGAACCCGTGTCGCCTGCATTGGCAGGCAGATTCTCAACCACTGCGCCACCAGGGAAGCCCCCACTATCATTTTTGGGTGCATACATTGGAAGCAAGAAAAAGGTAAACTTTAAAAATACTTCTTTTGACCATTGAGTGATGTCTGAAATAATACCTCCATGTGTGTAGACTATACATGGAATGGAAGATGTACCATTGGAGAAAATGACAAAGAATAATCATTTAGGGATAAAAGACTTCTACAAATTGTAAATGAAAGACAGTAACACTTTAAAAGGCATTCTTTAATGTATTTCTCATTTTATGGGTTGTTTATATTTCCCTCTCTCTCTGATGGGCAAAATTAAAAGGATATATTGTAGGAAGGCTGACTTTAAGAAAGTCAGAAAAATAATAAGACTATATAGTTGGGGGAAGAAAGCTAAGATACAATCCAAGAAATGAGGCTGTTCAGTTTACAGATCTTTTTCTTTTCCATTATGGTTTATCCCAGGATATTGAATATAGTTCCCTGTGCTATACAGTAGGACCTTGATGTTTATCCATTCTATATGTAATAGTTTTCATCTAATCCAGTTTACAGATCTGAAGTTAGCCTATTCCACGTATAGGGAAAAGGAGCCGTATACCAAAAAGACTAAATGATGCCACACTGCAAAAGGGTTGTATTGTAAAGATATAGCATGAGTTTGCAGGGGAGAAATCAGACAAAACAAAACAGGAGGTGGAGTTCCACAGAGAGCAGAAAAAGAAAATTTTCTGAAAGCTATTGACAAATTTTCAGAGGCAAATTATTAGACAAATTCTAAGAGAGAACTTTCGGACATCATATATTATTTCATATTTTAATAGTCACTAGTAAGTTTTGTCCAATCTCTCCCTTGAAATTTGTAGGAAAAGATAAACATCCTTATTGTTTGGCTGTGTCCTATCTAGTGTGCTGGCCACTAGACACCTGTGGCTTTTGAGTACTTGGAATGTGGCTAGTCTGAATTATGTGCTGTAAGTGTAAAATACACACTGGTTTTCAACCACTTAGAACAACAGCAAGAGGAATGCAAAATATCTGATTAATAAGTTTTATATTGATCATAAATTTAAATGATAGTATTTGGACATGTTAGATCATTAGATCAGATAAAATATATTAATAAATTAATTTTACCTGTTGTTTTTTTTACTTTTTAAAATGCAGCTACTAAAAAATTTGATACTGCATTTGTGGCTTGCATCATAGTATTTCTGTTGCACAGCATTGGTCTAGCCTCTGCCCACATAACTGCTCTTGGAAATCATCAGATTCAAGATTGTGTATTTTGATGGTATCTGTATAAATTTACTTCAGTTTTGTTTCATTCTGATTTTCATTTCATTTATTTTCGAGCAGTTTAGGTATCCAGTTTGCACAAACCAGATTCCCCGTCAGATTCCTCAACAGACTTTCATTAGAAAAGGCCAAGTCTTTGGCCTCATCATCAGTGGCATTTTACCTTTTGGCTGTATTTTTATTCAACTCTTTTGCATTCTAAACAGTATTTGGTGAGTATTGTATCTTCATAATCTCAAAAATATTAAATGTTAATAAGTTAATTTTTTATATGTCAAAGAGGTTAAATTCTGGTGTGGTAAAACTTTATTTGCTACCCTGTTTTATCCAGGAAATAGCAATCTGACCTGAGGGAATTTCCTAGGAAACTAAGACTTAATTCACAAAATTATAAAGCTACTTTTGGATGGAAATGTCTCTAAAGATTTCCTTTTTGGAAATGAATAACCTCTTTTTTTTGTTTTGCGGTACGCGGGCCTCTCACTGTTGTGGCCTCTCCCGTTGCGGAGCACAGGCTCCGGACGCGCAGGCTCAGCGGCCGTGGCTCACGGGCCCAGCCGCTCCGCGGCATGTGCTATCTTCCCGGACCGGGGCACGAACCTGTGTCCCCTGCATCGGCAGGCGGAATCTCAATCACTACGCCACCAGGGAATCCCTTAATAACTTCTTTTTAAGCCTTTCCAGGTGACTTAGAAAAGTTGGTCTCAAACTGTACTTCTTTGAGATTTTGCAAGGGGTGGGATGGGGGTGTCCCTTGGAGGGAGGTACGTAAAGATGGGAAGGGGCAGCTCTGATTTGTATCTGTTTTCCATACTGGCCTTCCATGCAAGATTTCATTTAGAGTTTCTCTGCTAAAAATAATTTGGAGACCACTGATTTTGGGTCTTCATCTGTACTGAGCTATAAGTAATGGTTTTCTATTTTCCTTTCTGTCAACTGTTAGTTCTGATGTCAGATGCCTTTTCCTTATAACTTTCCTCTTTTTATCTGCTACTTTTAATCTGTTGCAGTTTAAGAAGTCTAATAGCCAAGATAGTTAGAGATGCATGTGAAGTAAGAACAGGTACTCTCTGATTAAAGTGCCACAGCTTTAGTGCCCCTGCTTTGTGACAGCTATTTCAGTTGCTCCAAGTCCCTTTTTTTCTTACTTCCTGATTCTTGACAGCATTTTGGTTTCGGGAGTTGGCCAAGTGGGGTGTTACTGTGGAAGGATTTTTGGAGAGGGGGCAAAAGCACCATAAAATGAAATAAGATAAGATAAAATAAAATAAATAAAATGCAGTCGCCAACTGTGTGTGTTTATAACACTTTTGTCCCAAAGGAATCTTCTGGACAAAACTTTGAAGTCCTTGGAAATTAGGCTTAATCACGTACATTAATTGCTCACCTTTTAAACAGCATTGTGTCAAAATTGTTTAAAAGATAAGCAATAAAATCTGTTACCTTGTCAGCAACTAAATATTTAACATGCTGCGATATAGATTACAGTAACCAAATTTTCCAGATGTTTTTGATGGAAAAGTAACTTTAAAGCAAAACTGAAAGATTCTTTAGATGAGTTAATTTTAAAAAGTTTTTTTAACTTTTTACTTTATATTGGAGTATAGTTGATTAACCATGTTGTGATAGTTTCAGGTGTACAGCAAAGTGATTCAGTTATATGTATACATGTATCTATTCTTTTTCAAGTTCTTCTCCCATTTAGGTTGTTACAGAATATTGAGCAGAGTTTCCTGTGCTATGCAGTAGGCCCTTGTTGGTTATCCACCTTAAATACAGCAATGTGTACATGTCAATACCATATTCCCTAACTATCCCTTTCCCCCCACCCTTTCCCCCTGGTAACCCTAAGTTCGTTCTCTAATAGATGAATTAATTTTTGTTTCAATGAGAAACAGCACGCTTGTTGTGTACAACTTTGTATGTATTTATTAACTCTAGAGATGATTCTCTCCTACCTCCATCCTTCATCCTCACTCCCAGGTGTATATCTTACATGAGGTTTTAAAATGGGATATTGATCAGTTCACCAGTTTCTTCTTCTCTTCAGAAGGCTTTTTAAAATGTGTATTTCTTATCCCAATTTAGTCAGCTCGCTCTATAATAATGAAAGAAATTACTTCATTCCTTCGAAGTTTGACCTAAATGTAATCCACACATAGATGTTTTTAAAGATGCATGTTTGAAAGTATATTTAATAGAATTATGTGTGTCATGCTATAAAGACCTATTTGGGGAAGCTACCTGTCAACAGACCTCCAAAAGCAAAATGGCGTGTGTTTCTGTGGTTTTCTGTTGTATAATGTAGTCACTGGTATTTATGGCATTTACAACCTTCCATTTCTAAAGAGAAAACATGTTTTTAAATGTGTATAGAGAAAATTGATGGGTCTCAAGTGAAAACTAAATTATAGGATCAGAGAAATATGAGTAAGTAGCAACACTGATTCTGACGAGAGAGGATATGGCCAAACTCTGAAGCTGTGTAGGTAAAGGAATATATATATATATATATACACATATATATACTCGATACTACATGGATACTACATGGATTTGATGATACTGCATGGATAGATGAAGGTTTGGAATGAAAAGCCCAAGGTGAGAAAAGTGTGTGACAGTTTACTGTATAGAGCTGGACGGATCTTTTTGTGTGTATTGTTAAGTTAAAGGTTATTTTAAAGCTGTAATTTTTCTTTTCAGGTCTCATCAGATGTACTTCATGTTTGGCTTCCTTTTCTTAGTCTTTATAATTCTCCTGATTATTTGTTCAGAAGCTACCGTTTTGCTGTGTTATTTTCATTTGTGTACTGAGGTAAAGACATAGGAAACAAATGTATCTGAAGCTTTCTAAACTTGCATTACTGGAATTAGAGGTCTGTGTTGAGAAAGGAATTGAAATAAATGTTAACTGCATGGTTTCTATAACTTGGGATCACTTTTATATTGTGTTTTTCTAATGACACATTTTAATTTTAATGCATCTATCAAGTTAATGCTACTTTGATGGAAAATTTTCAACAGAAAGCAATTTCTCTCTGGCTAGTTACTATAATTGCTGCGTCATATTCAGTTAACATAGAAAAATATAGGGAACTGATTTGATAGTTTAGACATATAAAAGATCTGGTTCGATGATGTTTTATTTTTAACAATTAAAATTTTCTTGCAGCTTAGGCCAGGATTGCATTTTATGGGTTTGAGATTGCTGCTAAAGGCCCTTTCTCTTTCATTTCATTGCCTTTTGGTTACCATGGGCATAAATAATTCTTTTTACCCCATGCCATCCCCAATTTTTTCCTGATGTCATTTTGGATAACTAAGCTGGTGGTGAACATGTTTTCTTTTTTTTTTTTAAGTTAATTAATTAATTATTTTATCTTTGGCTGTGTTGGGTCTTCGTTGCTGTGCACGGCCTTTCTCTAGTTGCGGCGAGTGGGGGCTACTCTTTGTTGTGATGTGCGGGCTTCTCATGGTGGTGGCTTCTCGTTGCAGAGCACGGGCCCTAGGTACGCGGGCTTCAGTAGTTGTGGCACGTGGGCTCAGTAGTTGTGGTTCACGGTTTCTAGAGCGCAGGCTCAGTAGTTGTGGCTTGCTGGCTCTAGAGCACAGGCTTAGTAGTTGTGGCACACAGGCTTAGTTGCTCCGTGGCATGTGGGATCTTCCTGGACCAGGACTCGAACCCATGTCCCCTGCATTGGCAGGTGGATTCTTAACCCCTGTGCCACCAGGGAAGTCCCTGAACATGTTTTCTTAAATCCCCTAAATCCCTCTTATTTTGGTAGTTTAATGTGACTCTCTAAAGGTGACAAGAGAGTTTAGGGAATGATTATTATATACATGATGTCTTAGAGCATTTTTTTCTTGAGCTATAAGAATAAAGGTAAAAAATATATAATTATGTATATATTATACTTAGCTACTCATTCATTCTGTGGTACATTTTGTCATAGAAAATCTGCAACAGTCATTAATGAAACATACATTGATAGGCATATAATGTGTATATTTTTATTCCTTAGAAAATGTTTTGGGGGCCCCCAAGACCACCCACATGTTTGGTGACTCACTAGAAGGACTCATGGGACTCAGAGTATAGATGTCTTCTTGGCTAGGGTTTGTTACAGCAAAAGGATACACAACAGGATCAGCAAGGGAAAAAGACACAGGTGGAACCTGGAAAAAAATCCATGTGCAGTCTTCCTATGCTTTCTCTCCCTCATGAGGGGACACACCAAGCATGCTCCTTTCTCCAGCAGTAAAAAAATGCAGGAATATATGTGCAACATGTCTGCCCAGGGAAGCCCATTAGAGACTTAGCATCCAAGGTTTTTATTGGGAGCTAGTCACATAGGCACCCTCTGCCTAGCAACTCCCAAAATTCCAGACTCTCAAAAGGAAAGCAAGTGTTCACCATAAATCACAATGTTTGTACAGTCTAGGTAGAGCAAACCAGTCTCATCAGTCAGGGAATGATTAAATGCCAAATTCCCAGACATAAGCCAAGAGTCAACCTTGTAAGCAGACCCTTCCAAAGATAGCAACCTCAGACCTGCTATGTTAACTCTTTTCTGCACACTTTATCCCCTTGGCCCTTGACCACAGTGCCTTTATGGTAAAATTACTATCAGGAAGCGCCCATGGGACAGGATGAGACTAACCTGATTATTGACCTCAGTCATGCCTCCATGGGTCCTGAATTTAGCCAGTTAAAACAAATCCTATTAACCATAAAGGTCTGTCTTAGAGAAACAAACAGACTTATAGAAAAAGAGATCAGGTTTGTGTTGACCAGAGGCAGGGGTTGGGGGGAGGGAGAATTGGATGAAGGTGGTCAAAAGGTACAAACTTGCAGTTATCAGATAAATAAGTACTAGGGATGTAATGTACAACATGATAAATACAATTAACACTGCTGTATGTTATATATGAAAGTTGTTGAGACAGTAAATCCTAAATTCTCATCACAGGGAAAACATTTTTTTCTGTTTCTTTAATTTTGTATCTGTATGAGATGATGGGTGCTCACTAAATTTACTGTGAAAATCATTTCATGATGTATGTAAGTCAAATCATTATGCTGTATAACTTAAACTTAGATAGTGTTGTATGTCAGTTATATCTCAATAAAAATCCCAATAAAACTGAAATGGTAAAAAAAGGTCTATCTTAAATTTCTATATTAACCTTTTTTTACCTGGCCTGAGGCATCAATTCAGGCCCAGCACAACTCTGGCCAGTAAATTGAAGCTGACCTGAAAGCCTTCCAGGGCTGAGGCAGCATCTGCAGAGAAAGGATGCACACATTAGAAGTACAATCCCCGAGGGCACATATTGTCCCCCTGGAAACCAAGAGTTTATCATTGTTAGGGCTCCCCAAGCAGGATGTACATTAGTCAGACAGTACATATTATATTAAATTTCTTATAAAACTTCCCCCTTTATTTCTTTTAATCCATAATCCTACAGAGCCTATTTTATGTTTCTTGTTATTACAATAATTGCTAACCCATGGATAGTTAGAATTTCATCTAAAAATTTGTTTTTTCAACCTCTTTTTGCAGGATTATCATTGGTGGTGGAGAGCCTTTTTTACCAGCAGTTTTACAGCTGTTTACCTTTTTTTGTATGCAGTTTATTACTTCTTTACCAAACTTCAAATCACGGGCATTGCAAACACCATTTTGTACTTTGGGTACACGATGATCATAGTCTTGATTTTCTTCCTTTTCACAGGTAAGCACAGAATTACTTTGTGTATTTCAGATTCTCTAAAAAGACTTGGCGATAGCCATAATATAATAAGCATCAATTAACAATTAATGGAAGGAAGAGGGAACAAAGTCATCATGTTCGTTTTTATGCTTTGGAGATAAAAGATTGCAAAGCCCGGGGAGCTGGAGGGACCTTATGTACTTAGCTGTAAGACTGTCTCTTGTGAATGTTTTTAAACAGTAGGGATGTGTTCCAAAGCACAGTAAGGGTTATGTGTAATCACCTTTGACTAGCTCCCAAGCATAAAAAATTAACCGACTTGAATAACTTTTAAATGAGTAAAATTAGATTAAGTCAATGTAAGCAATTATAGGTGAGGAACAAGATGTATACTTCTCAGGATTACTCATTTGGGATTGTTATTTGGGTTCCACTGTGATGGAAACTTTTGTTTAAATTAATACTTGAAGCAGGTGAAAAAATGGCATGGTTTCTAAGATGATCCTGTTGGAGAAATAATGAAGATGGAGAGCTTTACTCCCTTTCTAACCCAAGGGAAGCAGCGGTCCACCTCCACCTGCCTCACTTTTAAGTTCTGGTTTTAGCTCAAGTCATATCACTTGTGTAGATAAGTTTGGAACATTTCAAATATTTTTCTCCAATTTTAACTCTCAGCCTCAACAAATATGGAAAAATTAACAATGGAAGTTTGTCAGAAATCAAAGCCTTAAGACACATGTAGACATTATCTGAGAAACTGGGCATCTTGGTTGGTGGCTTCTTTCTGTGCTTTTCGCATACTGCTGCTCTCAACTCCTCAGTAAAGAGAAGACTGGGCAGGGCTTGTCTCATCTCTCAGCCACCAGAAGTTCTATTTAGGGACCTCCCTGGCGGTCCAGTTGTTGGGACTCCGCTCTTCCACTTCCACTGCACGGGGCCCGAGTTTGATCCCTGGTTGGGGAACTAAAAAAGTTCTATTTAAAACCGAAGGCTTGGGCTTCCCTGGTGGCGCAGTGGTTGAGAGTCCGCCTGCCGATGCAGGGGACACGGGTTCGTGCCCCGGTCCGGGAAGATCCCACATGCCGCGGAGCGGCTGGGCCCGTGAGCCATGGACGCTGAGCCTGCGCGTCCGGAGCCGCAAAAAAAAAAAAACAAAAAAAACCCGAAGGCTTGAGAGTGTCTCACCATTCTAGTCTACCAGCCCCCTCATGTTTGTTTTTGAGGTTTTTAAGCTTTTTACTGAAATATGCCTGCAGAAAAGTGCACACATCATAAGTGTAGAGCAGTGAGCACAATCTGTAACTGACACCCACGTTAATAAACAGTACGTGATCTGCACGCCCAAAGCCACTGTTGGGCCTCTTTCCATTCACCTTTCCCAAAAAGCAACCACTATCCTGACTTTTAACAGCATCGGTTAATTTGGCCTGTTTTTGATTTGTAGGTAAATGGAATCATACGAGATCTACTATTTTAAGTCTGGCTTCACTGGGGTCTGGTTTCTTTTTCTCAAGATTGTTTGTGAATTTCATCCGTATCGCTGTGCCTACGTGTCGTCTCTGCCCCTCGCGTGTTCTGTTTTGGGTTTCTCCCCTTGTGAGTTACTGGCTTTTCTATTTGTGTAATGTGCAGTTAGATGGATTATGTTTTCTTTTCTTCATTACCTAACACTTTGACTCAGGCTGCCTTTTTCTGGGAGTCTTATATTACAACAGCTTCTTTCAGAAGTTAGATGTCATCCCAAATGGTCACATTGCTGACAACTCTGTGCCCTTTGGTTGGCTCCACCACTTGAATTGCTTCTGTCACTAATATGTGACTCTCCAAGGCTCTCAGTGGTCTCTTGCCAAATCTAAGGCCTTTCCCTGGTCTTCATCCTCCTTGGCTTCTTAGCTAAACACTACTCAACACCTATTCTGTGAAATTCTCCCAGCATCATTGGCATTCTTCTTCTTGTACCACGCTGTGAATTCTTTTGTTTTCCTCCCTCTTCCTGTCACCTAACTCTAGCCTTTATCAAGGGTTCAGCTTTCAGCATTTCAGTCCTTTCTTTCTACACTCTCCCTTTTAGAGCTTATTTAGTCCCAGGGCTTCACTTATCTCCTCAGTGCTGACAGCTCCCAAATCTGTATCTCTAGTCATAACCTCTCTCCAATTATATTCTGAACATTTGCATGTCGCATTGGTACTGCCAACTCGACATGCCCCAGAAAGTGAATGTAGCACTTCCTTTCCCCCCAACTGACTCATCTTAATTTCTCTCTTCCTTTGACCATCATGTCTAATCTCTCATCTCCTTGGCATATTTTGCAGGAATTCTTAACATAGCCCTTCCATGCTTTATAATTAATTACAACTCCCCTATTTATTCTTCTTCAGAAGCTTCTTATTCTGTTTTACACTGCGCTAGACCCTGCGCTAGGTGCTGGGGACGTAGTGGTGAAGAAGACAGGTAAGGTCCCCTGCTTTTGTGGATCTTATGTTTTAATGGATGGGGGACAAAGAAGGAATTATGGGTTTGATGAGCTTTGTGAAAGAAATGATATTGAAGAAGAGGTGGATAATCAAGTGTTTCAAACAGAGGTGACAGCATGTTCAAAAGTCCTAAAGTGAGAAGGAGTATGACATCTTCAAAGAACACAGAGAAGTTCAAGATGGCAAGAGAAGGAAGGTGGCACTAGGTGGCAATAGTGATTAGAGACATAAGGAGCTAGCAGATCTTACCAGGGTCTTAAAAACTCTACTGTACTAGGGAATTTAGATTTTATTGTAGGAATGATGGGAAGTTGAGGGGGTTTAAATAGGGAACTAATGTGATAATATCACTCTTCTTATTTGAAAGCTTTAATACTGCCATACTTCTCTATCAAGGTCTAAACTTACCTTGGTGTTTGGGCTCCTGTTCTGCCTACTCAGCGTATTTTCTAAACCTCTTAAACTGAACCATTTACTGAGTTTAGGCGTGTCTCCTCCTGACTTTTTTTTTAATATATATTTAAAAAAATTATTTATTTATTTTTGGCTGCATTGGGTCTTCGTTGCTGCGCACGGGCTTTCCCTAGTTGCAGCGAGCGGGGGCTACTCTTCGTTGTGGCACGCGGGCTTCTCATTGCGGTGGCTTCTCTTGTTGCAGAGCACAGGCTCTAGGTGCACGGGCTTCAGTAGTTGTGGCTCGCGGGCTCTAGAGCGCAGGCTCAGTAGTTGTGGCACATGGGCTTATTTGCTCCACGGCATGTGGGATCTTCCCGGACCAGGGCTTGAACCCGTGTCCCCTGCATTGGCAGGCAGATTCTTAACCACTGCGCCACCAGGGAAGCCCTCCTCCTGACTTTTTTAGCATGTCTCCCCACCTAACTTGGAATCTCCTTGAGAACAGGGACCACATCGTATGCCTATTTTATATCTTTTATAGCGCTAAGCACATGGTTCTTCTTGAATTACATAGAGCATGAAATAGAGGAGATACCATTATGGTATAATGTTTCCCTATCTATTTTATTTTATTTTAAATTAAAAAAATGTTTAGATTGAAGTATAACTGACATACAACATTGTATTCGTTTCTGGTGTGCAACATAATGATTTGATATTTGTATATATTGCAAAATGATCACCACAGTAAGTCTAGTTAACATCTGTCATCATACACAGTTACAAAATTTTTGGAGTAAATGAGAACTTTTAAGGTTTATTCTCTTAGCAACTTTCAAACATGCAGTACAGTATTATTAATTATAGTCACTATGCTGTACATTACATCCCCATGTCTTATTATAACTGGAAGTTTGTACCTTTTGACCCCCTTCACCCATTTTGCCCACATCCTCTCCCCACCCTCCAGCCTCTGGAAACCATCAATTTGTTCTTTGTATCTATGAGCTTGGTTGGTTTTGTTATTTTTTACTAAGATCCCACATGTAAGTGAGAGCATGCGGTATTTGTTTTTCTCTGTCTGACTTATTTCACTTAGCATAATGCCCTCAAAGCCCATCCATGTTGTCACAAAAAGCAGGATTACATTCTTTTTTATGGCTGAATAATATTCCATTGTATACATATACCACATTTTCTTTATCCATTTATCCATCAGTGGACACTTAGGTTGTTTTCATATCTTGGCTATTGTAAATAATGCTGCAGTGAACATGGGGTACATGTATCTTTTTGAGTTAGTGTTTTCATTTTCTTTGGATAAATACCCAAGACTGGAATTGCTGGATCTTACAGTAGTTCTATTTTTAATTTTTTGAGGAACCTCCATACCATTTTCTATAGTGGCTGCACCAATTTACATTCCCATCAACAGTGCACAGGGTCCCCTTTTCTCCACATCCTCGCCAGCACTTTTTATTTCTTGTGTTTTTGATAATAGCCATTCTAACAGGTGTGAGGTGATATCTCACTGTGGGTTTGATTTGCATTTCCCTGATGATTAATGCTGTTGAGCATCTTTTCATGTACCTCTTGGCCTTCTGTATGTCTTCTTTGGAGAAACGTCTATTCAGATCCTCTGCCCATTTTTTTGTAATAAAATGCTTACATCTATTGTAACAGCCCTAAAATCTTTCTGGAGGGTGTATATTTTTTTTCCTTTCCAGTTTTTTTGAGATTTTTATTGAGATATAGTTGACATACAGCACTGTATACATTTAAAGTGTACAGCATAATGATTTGACTTACATAGTCATGAAATGATGATCACAGTAAGTTTAGTGACTATCCATCATCTCATATAGTTACAAAATTGAAGAAATAGAAAAAAATTTTTTTCTTCTGCTGAAATTTACTTTCAGCAACTTTCGTATATAACGTACAGCAGTGTTAATTATATTTATCATTGTACATTATAACCCTAATACTTATTTATCTGATAACTGAAAGTTTGTACCTTTTGACTGACTTCATCCAATTCCTCTTCACCCACCCCTCACATCTGGTAACTACAAATCTGATCTCTTTTTCTATGAGTTTGTTTGTTTGTTTGTTGAAGTATAATTGACCTACAGCACTGTGTTAGTTCCTGGTACACAGCATAGTGATTTGATATTTCTATCCATTTCAAAATGATCACCATGATAAGTCTAGTTACCATCTGTCACCATACAAAGATTTGCATAATCATTGACTATATTCCCCACACTGTACATTTAAGCCCATGACTTATTTATTTTGTAACTGGAATTTTGTATCTCTTAATCTCCCTCACCTATTTCACTCCTCCACCTACCCCTCCACCCCTGGCAACCACCTGTTTGTTCTCTGTATCTATGACTGTTTCTATTTTGTTACGTTTGTTCAATTGTTCCATTTTTTAGATTCCACATACAAGTGAAATCTTACAGTATTTGTTTTTCTCTGTCTGACTTATTTCACTTAGCATAATACCCTCTAGGTCCATCCATGTTGTCCCAAATGGCCAAATGACAAGATTTAATTCTTTTTTTTAATGGCTGAATTATATATATAATATACATATATATATATATATATATACATACACACACAAACATATACCACATCTTATTTATCCATTCATCTATTGATGAGCACTTAGGTTGCTTCCATATCTTGGCTACTGTAAATGATACTTCAGTGAACATAGGGGTTCATATATCTTGAATTAGTGTTTTTGTTTTCTTCGGATAAATACCCAGGAGTGGAATTGCTGGATCATGTGGTGGATCTATTTTCATTTTTTTCAGGAATCTCCATACTGTTTTCTACAGTGGCTGCACCAATTTACATTCCCACCAACAGTGTATAAAGGTTCCCTTTTCTCCACACCCTCACCAACACTTGTTATTTGTTATCTTTTTGATGATAGCCATTCTGACAGGTGTGAGGTGATATCTCATTGTGGTTTTGATTTGCATTTCCCTGATGATTAATGACATTGAACATCTTTTAATGTGCCTGTTGGCCTTCTGTATGTTTTGTCTTCTCTGGAAAAATGTCTATTCAGATCCTCTGCCCATTTAAAAAAATTTTTTTTATAATTTTTTTGTGATGTAGACCATTTTAAAAAAAAGTATTTGTTGAATTTGTTACAATATTGCTTTTGTTTTATGTTTTGGTTTGTTGGCTGCAAGGCATGTGGGATCCTAGCTCCCCGACCAGGGATTGAACCCTCACCCCCTGCACTGGTAGGCAAAGTCTTAACCACTGGACCGGCAGGGAAGTCCCACTCTACACATTTTTAATTGGATTTTTTTGGGGGGTTTATTGCTATTGAGTTGGATGAGGTTTTTAAAAAATATATTTTGGATATTACCCCTTATCAGATATATGATATGCAAGTATTTTCTCCCATTCAGTAGGCTGCCTTTTCATTTTTGTGGATGGTTTCCTTTTCTGTACAGAAACTTTTTAGTTTGATGTAGTCCCACTTGTTGATTTTTGCTTTTGTTGCCTTTGCTTTTGGTGTGAAGTCCAAAAAAATCATCACCAAGACTGATGTCAAGGAGCTTACCTCCTATATTTACTTTTAGGAGCTTTATGGTTTCGGGTCTTACATTCAGGTCTTTAATCTACTTTAAGTTAATTTTTGTGTCCAGTTTCATTCATTTGCGTGTGACTGTCCTGTTTTCCCAACACCATTTATGAAAAGACTATCCTTTCTCCATTGTATATTATTGGCTCCTTTGTCATAAATTAGTTGACCATATATGTGTGGGCTTATTTCTGGGCTTTCTGTTTTGTTCCATTGAGTTACGTTTTTTTTTTTTTTTTTTTTCGGTACACAGGCCTCTCACTGCTGTGACCTCTCCTGTTGCGGAGCACAGGCTCCAGATGTGCAGGCTCAGTGGCCATGGCTCACGGGCCTAGCTGCTCCACAGCATGTGGGATCCTCCTGGACTGGGGCACGAACCTGTGTCCCCTGCATCAGCAGGCGGACTCTCAACCACTGTGCCACCAGGGAAGCCCTATGTATTTGTTTTTATGCCAATACCATACGGTTTTGATTACTATAGCTTTGTGATATAGTTTGAAATCAAGGGATTGATACCTCCAGCTTTGTTCTTGTTTCTCAAGATTGCTTTGGCTATTTGGGATCTTTTGTGGTTCCATACAAATTTTAGGATTGTTTGTTCTATTTCTGTGAAATTACCACTGGACTTTTATTTTATTATTATTATTTTTGACCATGCTGTGCAGCATGTGGGATCTTAGTTCCCTGACCAGGGTTCAAACCTGCGCCCCCTGCATTGGAAGCACAGAGTGTTAACCACTGGACCACCAGGGAAGTCCACCACTGGACTTTTGATAGGGATTGCATTGAATCTGTAGATTCCTTTGGGTAGTGTAGACATTTTTACAATATTAATTCTTACAATCCATGAGCATGGAATATCTTTCCATTTATTTGTGTTTTCTTCAATCTTTCATTAACATCTTACAGTTTTAAGTCTAGAGGTCTTTCAGTTTCTCGGTTAAATTTATTCTTAGGTATTT